GAGTGAAGCTGGGTGCTGGTGTTGAGATGGAGATTTCTGGGAGATTTTCGCTATTTGATATTATGTGGAGCTGGGTGGTCTCTTGTGGACCAGTGTCCTGAAGTTGGCTCTCCCACCTCAGAGGCACAGCGCTGACTCCTGGCTGCAGCACCAAGAGCCTTTCATCCACATGGCTCAGAATAAAAGGGAGAAAAAGTAGATAGAAAGGATTAGTAGAAGAAAGAGAAAAAGAAAGAAAGAAAGAGGAGGGAGGGAGGGAGGAAGGAAGGAAAAAAAGAAAGAAAGAAGATAAAGTAAAAGATAAAATAACATAAGTTATTAAAATAAAAAATAATTATTGAAAATTAAAAAAATAAAAAAAATGGATTGAACCCTAGGACAAATGGTGGAAACAATGCTATACAGACAAAATCTCACACAGAAGCATACACATACACACTCACAAAAAGAGGAAAAGGGGAAGAAATCATAAATCTTGATCTCAAAGCCCACCTTCTCAATTTGGGATGATTCGTGGTCTATTCAGGTATTCCACAGATGCAGGTACATCAAGTTGATTGTGGAGCTTTAATCCGCTGCTCCTGAGGCGGCTGGGAGAGCTTTCCCTTTCTCTTCTTTGTTAGCACAGCTCCCGGGACTCAGTTTTGGATTTGGCCCCGCCTCTGCGTGTAGGTGGCCGGAGGGTGTCTGTTCTTGGCTCAGACAGGACGGGGGTAAAGGAGCCGCTGATTCAGGGGCTCTGGCTCACTCAGGCCGCGGGGAGGGCGGGGCACGGAGTGCGGGGCGGGCCTGCGGCGGCAGAGGCCGGCGTGACGTTGCGCCGGCGTGACGTTGCACCAGTCTGAAGCGCACCGTGTGTTCCTCGGGGGTATCGTCCCTGGATCCCGGGACCCTGGCAGTGGCGGGCTGCACAGCCTCCCCGGAAGAGGGTTGTGGATAGTGACCTGTGCTCGCACACAGGCTTCTTGGTGGCGGCAGCAGCAGCCTTAGCGTCTCATGCCCGTCTCTGGGGTCCGCGTTGTTAGCCGCGGCCCGCGCCCGTCTCTGGAGCTCCTTTAAGCAGCGCTCTTAATCCCCTCTCCTCGCGCACCAGGAAACAAAGAGGGAAGAAAAAGTCTCCTGCCTCTTCGGCAGGTCCAGACTTTTCCCCGGACTCCCTCCCGGCCAGCCGTGGCGCACTAACCCCCTGCAGGCTGTGTTCACGCCGCCAACCCCAGTCCTCTCCCTGCGCTCCGACCGAAGCCCGAGCCTCAACTCCCAGCCCCGCCCGCCGCGGCGGGGGAGCAGACGAGCCTCTCGGGCTGGTGAGTGCCGGTCGGCCCCGATCCTCTGTGCGGGAATCTCTCCGCTTTGCCCCCCGCACCCCTCTGGCTGCGCTCTCCCCCGCGGCTTCGAAGCTTCCCCCTCCGCCACCCGCAGTCTCCGCCCGCGAAGGGGCGTCTAGTGTGTGGAAACACTTCCTCATTCACAGCTCCCTCCCACTGGTGCAGGTCCCTTCCCTATCCTTTTGTCTCTGGTTATTTTTTCTTTTGCCCTACGCAGGTACGTGGGGGGTTTCTTGCCTTTTGGGAGGTCTCAGGTCTTCTGCCAGCGTTCAGTAGGTGGTCTGTAGGAGTTGTTAACACGTGTTGATGTATTTCTGGTGTATCTGTGGGGAGGAGGTGATCTCTGCGTCTTACTCTTCCGCCATCTTCCCGGATGCCGCTCTTTTTTGTTTTTACATTTAATATTGCCAATGAAAAGCAATTCCCGTTTCTCCTTTCTTTGTAAATGACCCCTTTTCTTTTTGGTGGGGCTAGTAGAATTATTCATTTATCCTTGTTATCTTTGCCTATGTTTCTAGGTGTAAGACATTTTATTCTGAAGCTGGTGTTTTCTGTTTGGGTGGGTGTTTTTGTAGTGAAACGGGTATCAGTAGAACAGAGAAAAAAGACTCTTGTCTTTCAGTTTCCTCATCTATTAAATGGAAATTATGCTTAATGTTACCTTTTATTATTAGATATTTTCATAAATTTTCTTCTAATTTCTCTGCTTATAATCCTTCTACTTTCTCTCCTTCTAGTACTGTTTTTAAACAGACATTGGACCTTCCTGATAGTTTCCCATGCCATTTTATTTTTTCTCTTACTTGCTATCTTCATTCTTTATTACTGCATTATGGGAGAATCCTAACAGACTAATAAGAAGAAAAGTTTGGTAAAGGTTAAAAACAGCTTGGTGTGTAGAAAACTAATATTTGATATTTCTTAGAGCACTTAGCCAATTGTAGTAGTTGATGTAGAATAAATACTTGATAATTAATTGAACAAGCTTTGGAATATCCTGAAAGTTATTGTTACTGTTTCATAACTCATCTTTAACCTTATCTCTGAAATTTTGTTGATTCTGTTTTGTGTTATAGTTTTATTTTGGGAGAGCCTTCCAAGTTTTGGAAGTTCCTCAGACTCTCTCTTACAGGTGGCATTGTGAACTCTCATTGAGAGTTTTTTCTTGGATGTGTTCTTGGACTAATGTCAAAAGATATTTAACACTTTTCTTTTTATCTTTCCCTCTCCTTCTCTTTTTTCCAATGATTAAAAAAGTATAAAAAATTATTTAAGAGTTTTTAATATCGAGTCAAATTGTTTAGTTGATAAGAGCTATTTATCTTACCTTCCTCTCACGAAATGTTAATTAGCTTTGTAATTGTTATGTAGCTTATAATTTGTTTTGATTTGTGACATGCGGTGTATGAGGGTGCTGATGTTAGACAAGTTTCCTGTAGAAATTTATTCTTTGACATTTTCTACAATTTTATAAATGCTTTTTATTGGTTCAAAAAGATATATTCCAGCCTGTATAGATATGTTTTCTTTCAGTGCCAAATGTCTTTCATTAGCTATGTAGTTTTAACAGATGGCTTTGAAGCATTCACTTAAATGCAGTTAGTATTTTATTTCCCTTTATTCCCTAATCTCTTTACATGTTATTGTAAATTAGTATGTTGGATACATTCCAGGACTTCTCAGTAGTTTAGCTAATGTCATGTAATATTTTCCATTGCAAATATGATTAAGAGAACATGTTGATGTTTCTAAAATGATATAGACAGTGAGAAAAGGATCAAGTTAAATTATTTTATTTCCTTATTATACACTTAAAAGTCATATTTTATTTGTCAAAAATACTTTTAGAGCAAAAGGCTTTTGTACAACTTGCCATATGCTATAAAAGTAATGGAGATTCTGGATTTTAACAATGTAGCAGAAATTATTCTGCGATGTTAATGAGTTAATAATAAAAACTTTAAAGTGGTTGATTGGACATAGAAATGTACTTTCTTCCCTCAGCATTACCTTGACCTTTCCAGCATTGACTCAAGGATACTCAGACTACCTAGATATTATACATGTCTTTAATTCTGGGTTCTGTTAATACAGTAAACATATTTAGATACCATAGGAAGTTGTGACATAAATATATTTTTTGGAAAAAGCTGATTATTATACTTTATCACTGAAGATAAAGAAGGCTTTATTTCTTTTCTTCAGTTTTTGTTAATGCAGTAATAATACCTTTGAGTACAAAAAGACAACTGAAATGTGTGTTAGTGTGTGAACTTGTGGACATTATATAAAGTTAAAATGTCAAAGATATAACTAGTGTTTATGAGTTACTTAGAAACTACAGTGGTCTTGTTGCCTGCAGCCAAAATGTGTAGAAGACACACCAAGAGACACTTAACTTTCTTATATTGGTTCAGTGCAGGGGACTGATGGTTATGAGGAAGAGTTTGATGGCATGTGATATCTTATGTAGATTTACATGCAAGACATTGAAATTATTTATAATTTAAAAACTATTGTATTATCTAATTGACTAGCAGAATATGGAATCAGTATATTAGCATGTGAAGATATTCATAGTAATGTTAGCAACTCTGTTACCTGAGCCTCAGTTTTACCACGTACCGTCCCATTTGGCTTCAGTTAGTTCAGCTCTGCTAGTCATGAGCCACACCTACAGTAAGATTACCGAAAGTGAAGTCCATTTAATACATATAAATATGAACACCAGTTTATTAGGGCCTTTCTATGTCAAACAGCATTCATGGTACTAAGAATACAAAGTTAGTACAACCTGGTTCCTCTACTCAAACATCTTGGATGAAAAAAGAGCAATAAGTAATTACTATGCAATAACATAAATGCTAAACAGAAGTATATGCAAGAAGGGCAGCTAGGCATCTCCTACACACAGAGATTTTATACGTTATGATGCCCCAAGTGGGCTTGGGTGGATGAGGACGTTTATTAATCTTTCTTAGGGAAA